AAATTTTTAAGCAACACGTAACGATTTAATCCTTTTGTAATTTGTTACACTAAATCTTATTTTAAAAAAATATATGCTAAAAATAATACTTGAATATTTCAAAACTAAAAAAGAACATTATCTTGATCATTTGTTCCAGGTGTAAGTTAAATAATTCCCAGTGATGGTCAATACCGAGAACGACATTCCTCCGCCGGTTCCTCGTCAGCCTAAAAAGGGATCGCGAGGTCAGAATTTACTTTCGTATTGCAATCCTTTTCATGCAAACTCCTCTAACCGCTTGCAAATATTCCAGCGGTCATAAACAAAAACAGAAGAATATATGCGTTTTAAAAGAAAGACTCTTGCTGATCTTTAGGGTGCAAAGAGCGAAAAACCAATTTTTCGGCACCAAAAATCTCGTTCTCAAATTGACGTAGTTCGTACTGCTCTCGATATGTGCTCAGATAAAAATGGGCCCACAGCCCTCATCCTTTCTAGTTAATTGGTCAAAAAATAGAGTGGAATGTATATTTTGGCCTGAGTGACTTCCTATTTTAGTCCTTATCAAACCGGTCGTGGTCAATTTAAAATACCTTGAGTGCAGCACTTGTGTTGTTATCTGTGACGTCTTGACTTCTGCTGATGAAACTATACCCTACCAAATAGAGTAGGAGTTACAGCAAAATGCCAAGCATATTTAGTCTGAATAAAGCTTTTGGTATCCCACAGAAGGGTTGAACGTCTGAAGTCTCCTCCAGACATTTGTGGGCACTCTTCTGCAAATATGTATTCTTACATTCTTTATTGGAAACGAAATGTATTTAGGTCGAGGTTGCTTTTATGTGTAAGTTCAACTATGCGTCCAGTATGCAGACAATAAGAAATAGGTAAAAAGTTGATTTTAGGGATTATCAGACTAAAACTATTATCCACTAGGAAATAGAGCCAAAGATAGATCCATAAACTTGGCGAATTTGGCAGATTAATAACTATTCTGGAGTGCCTTAAGTAGACTTTTAGCTTTAAGCATCGAATGACATGCTAGCCTGAAATAGGGTACTGGATCACTTACTATCATAGCAGCAAACGATATCATTTATCCTATGACGACAACATTAAATTTTATTTTCTATTTATTTACACATTTCTTTGCATAGTTGCCCCAAGTACTGCAGACGATAGTGGTTGTTTGGAGACCTCAACGATGTCGCATAGATCAGACCATCAGGTAAGAATCTATAAAGAGAATGAGACTATAAATTGCTGAGACGTTAAGAAGATAGGATTGGATAGCTGCTACGAGTAGGTTATTACACATTCTTCACATAATCCATAGTATACTTTAGATAAATAAATAAATATGCTTTGAAAAGAACATGTAGACTAGCTGTACTCAAAACTGACGTCAATCGAAGATATGAATACCTAAATGGTGTGGCCTATATTTTATTGGTGGACTCGTCCAGTTGCATACAAGTGGCTTGAGCTCGTATTCCCAATTTAGTTATGCTGTCAAGAAGGCTTAGGTGAATGCATCCTAATCCGAGTTCTCTATCATAGAAACATCATAATTTACAGCATCGGACATTGGACATATTACTGAAGGCAATATCTGTAAATTTGTCTAGATGTGCACTTATGATTTTCAGGATCAACTATACAAATAATTTCAGTGATATTGTTATTTTTTTCCTCAAGAATCTGCTTGCTCAGAAAAAGATAACCTGAAAAGATAGTACTAGAGGGATGGGTGTATACTTCAAAACGGTACCATGAACTGGTTTGCTTGAGGAGAGTTCAACGTTTGCATCTGGTGGGCATCTAAATGGAAGGCGCACTCAGAAGGCCATCAGGAGGGAAATCCTTTGAGACTTGGTTTGACGATTCCAATTCTAATTAATATTCATAAGAATCAGCCTGGTCTCTGAGCCTAAAATCGATCTATTCTCTATTATATATATATATATATTCATATATATATATATGAATAAAAATGAAAATAAAATGGTTAAATACTATATTTACAAAACCATCTGCTCGTGATAGGTAACGAACCCTCCTTTCCCTACACCTACTTCCATTGATGCCTCTTTCCTTGGTGTTTATCATTCATTAAAGACACTTGATGAGAGGTGTCCAGAGAAAATTCGTGATGGGGAGTACAAGGGCTCCTGTGGCGATAATGATGATGAGGGGGACGAAACATACGGCAACGATAATCTGTACGAGAACAGTTCAGTGGACTATGTGGAGGTAAAGAAAATAATCTCACACCCTAATGTATTTTGCCCCAAGATGAGTCAATTCAACCAGCCCCAAGCCAAACCCGAGCACCTGCTTCAACCCCTTCTGCTTCATCCACAACATTCGGTGTCCAGTCCACCTGACATTCGAGGCAATGAGGAAGACAGACGACCCAAAGTCTACCAAAGGAAGCCAGGCTGTCAAACCGACCCATCTGTGGACAGGGTAGGCAGATTAGGGAGGCAGATGGGATAAAAGAAAGCAAGTAAAGGAGTGTAATCGAATTTGAGCAGTTCGTTCCGCAAAAGCCAGTTCCTAAGACAGATTAAACAGTGGCAATGACAACTATATTTTTCGATTTAAGTATTGTTTTCGTGACTACCAGTAAATCAGTAATATGAAATGTATTCACCCAATTTCGTTTAAGGTGATAAAGGACTGGTAGAAAAAGAAATTTCCTACAATGATATGAGTTGAGCTGAAGTATATTAGTCGTTTGTTATAGCAGATATACGTTTGCTTCCTCGACAATTCCAACAAAAGAATATGATATAGCGAAAACGCCTGGCCTTACTTGAAAATTCACATCTGCCTCGTGCCTGGATGAGAACAACTTTTGAGAAAACAAGGATATGTGAAATTCAATCGAAACGTCAGCTCAACTCATATCATTGTGGGAAAATTCTTCTGCTACCAGTCCTTCATCACCTTAAACGAAATTGGGTGAATACATCTCATATCAATGACAACTAGTTATACGATGGATGGAGCCTAAATGAAGAAGTCGAGCACGTGAATTAGTGCAAATATAGAATCCATATCCACATATTCCAGAGTGCCGTCTAGACTTGTCACAATAGGAAATTATTGTTACGATTATGTATTTAGATGATAATCTTCATCGTGTTTAATTGAAATCTAGGCGATTCACCAAATTTTACTATTTTGATGTGTCCAATCCCGGTTTCTCTGCATTATTAACGATAGACTTTAGCCAGTTCATTTGGCCTCAGTCGCAAAGACAAAATAATAAAATAGATAGTAGCTGTAGCACTGATGCCATTCTTTTTGCATACAACTACTTTGCAAAGGAATCGGGTGTAATTTAATTTTCCGGAGGTATTAAGACTCTTTGATTTTGAAACATTTTACTGTGACATAATCATTTACTTGCCTATCCAGTACGTCGCAAACCAACTGAACGAAATTCAATCCTTCACATTAACATAAAAACCTGAAAAATCCTTCTGAGATATGATGAGAAGCTGGGTTTCGAAGACCTCCTTAGTAGATTAATACTATCATACCTTTCATTTGGTTTGAGAAGGTTGGTGGAAGGGCTTTATAGATTGGTCTCATCAGATAGCGAAGGACTTTTGTCTGCTAAAATTTGCGAAGAAGACCTCGGCTCTCCATCATACGACCCCAAAGGCTCCGTGCTTTCGTATATCATGTGACAAACATCGTGAGAGCCAGAAACCATTATTCACGAACAATCACCACTAATCCCTTCCACTCGCCTTAGCAAACGAAATGAAAGGTATGCCAGTATCAACCTAAAATTGCCAACCAACTTGTAAGCGTTGCCTACAGGCAACGCACATGCATCCTTGAAGCCATAACAGGCCTCAGGATTGCAGGATCATAAGCTAGTTTATTTACAAAATTAAAAGTTGCCACCACGTCTAGTCCTCTTGAAGCGGATGTAGAAATTCATCCGCGGGAGAAAAGGAAATGAAGATAGATCAAAAATTGGTTAACCTATCCAAAATACCATTTGGCAGTACTACTGAGGAAGTTCTATCTAAAAAGCTTAATTATGCTTTGGTAGAGGGTATTAACTTTACTGACCGATTAGCAAAGAAAACTAGAATTGAGGTTGAAATACAGGTTGCTCCTCTAATTGATAACCATGTAGAACCACCAAATAGAAATAGATGTTTTAATAATATCACAAAGAAGCTTAGACAACACGAGCAAATAGTTTTGAGGGCCGACAAAGGAGGAGCAGTGGTTGTTATGGATAGGACCGATTATATAGAAAAGTTGATGCTGGCTTTAAGTGATATTGATACGTATAGAAGTATAATTAAGGACCTTACAGAAACAGTGAAGTCGAGACTTAAAAGTTGTCTGCAACGATGCGTTAATAATGGAGAATTGGAGAAGTGGAAAATTAATTCGCTTTTCCAACATGACGCTAGAACTCCTAATGCATATGGTCTACCCAAAATCCACAAAGTGAGGGTCCCAGTTAAGATCATTGTAAATAATAAGGATGGTGTGATGCATAAAGCATTACGATTTATTTATGATCGATTGAAGAAAATCTCAGGTTTTGGGAACTTTTAGGTATAAAGAATTCTTATGAATATAAAGTTATTATATGAGCAAAAAATAGAACAAGAAGATTAGCAAGTAAGTTTTGATCTAAGTTGGGCCATACAGGCATTAGGATTAACCTCAGATCTATAACAGATATGATGTCATGAAATAAGATGAACAAGTAGTTAAACCAGCGATTGATGAACTTAATAATGAATAGTACATATTTTATCTTTAATGGTAAATTATACCAACAAACAGGAGGTTTAGCTATGGGATCGTCTTTGTCTCCAGTTTTATCTAATAACTGCATGGCTTAATTGGAAGTCCGGCTTTTTATGAGTCACTCCTAGTTCCAAAACTATTGGTCAGATATATGGAGGATTACTTTGTTATCTGGCAACATAGCAAAGTTGTTTGGAAGATTGTCTTAGCGCGATGAAAATATTGGATAAAACTGCTGAATTCCCTATTGAGTTGTAAACGGACAGTGAGTAACTCGTTTAGGTGTCCTAGTTAATAAAGAGGGGAGCAAACTGGGTAGAGATGTATATAGGAAACCCA